CATCTGTCATCTGGGTCAAAGAAAACAAGGCAACCTCACAAGTTATAAACTGCTATGTTTTCTATATAAAACATACAAAGGACCATAGATTCAAGGAGCAACCATAATGAAAACACCTTGGGGAAGGTCCGCTTTAAGGACTGTATATGTCAACTCTATGTAAAATAATTCTGAAAGAATGAGAAATAGCAGATGAACAGATGATATGTTTTATTTACTTTGGAAAATGTACTTAGACATTTATGTCAGATTGACAACATGTTATCACTCCCTCTAAACTACTTTGCACTGTGTGAATGAGCAGTGCTGGCAAATTTCTGTAATTTAAGTTTTTATTCAAATTTTGACATGATTTTTATGCCAGAGGGTCCTAGGTAAGAAACTCTTTAAAAGGTATTTATCACCCAAACCCTGGGTTTGCTTTTGAACAATATCATCTCATTAATTAAAAGGCTGAAGTCTCATTACTTCATGTCTGTCTTTCCTAGATTATGTAAAACAGCAACCCTGTCATTACCAAATCATATGCCATTTTTCTTTTTCTAAAGAGCTAGAGCTCATAGCTACCACTTAAAGGCAACATTACAGAAAAGAAAGAGAAATGTGTAACATCTTGTTCTTAGCTATGTGTTGGTTGGATCTAGTCTTCTATGATTATTTGTTCCAACTTTTATTTTTCTTGGTTTTGGTTGTAGTTGAGTAACACTAAAGAGAAAGTGTTATACTGTTGCTAATGTAATATAGAAAATCTGATTTTATTTGACATTGCCCAATTTGTCAGCAAAGGACAAAAATGATGCTGTTAGAAATGCATTATATATATTCAAATAATATGATTGTTTGTGACAAGCACATAACATTTAGTTTCTGATCATTAGCTTTGGTAATCATTAGCTTGGTTAATGAAAAATAAAATATTTACAATACTGAGTGAGCAACTGAAAAATGAGCAACTAGCTAATTAAAATTATACACACTCCTGAAACATAGACTGTCAGACTGCCAAATTGTATTAGTGAGGGCCTTTCACAACTTTTATGGGTGGACAGTGAATTCTGTGTTTGGCTTAAGGTGATAGAGGTTTCAGTGGCATCTCCTGTGTGAAATTTAAAAGGTTTCAATGCAATGTCTATAAAGGGAATTCCATTTTCCTTAACCAAAATGGTTTTCAGATTCTGACCATCATGTAATGTACTTGTGCTTTTCAGTGCTGCTCAGTTTTAACTATAAATTTTCTTTCTTTGGCCAGATTTATTTTATGCCTATAGTCATGATAGAGTCAAAAATATTAATGCTTATTATAGTTAAGCTCAGGCTCACTTTTACAATCACTTCCTTGTGGTGCCACGCAGAATACACTTGAACTTTGAGCTTCAACTCTGCTTCTGCTGAGTTGTGCAACGATATCTTAGGGAAGTCTTGTCTAAGTCTGCGTTTGCCCACTGTAAATCAGAGATAGTAATACCCACCTTAAACCTCTTCTTGAGAACTAAAAGAAATAATGTATGCCATTTGCCAAGCCAGGCATAGCAAGTCCAGCCAGCACATTGCTGTTTCTTAGTGTTGTTTCATATACACAGTGTTTCTGAATGTAGCACCACTAGCCAACTGCCTGGAAGAGATCTGGTCTAAAGATAGTATGTACAAGTCATTTATATTGGCTATGAAAGCATCTTAATGACTGTGGTGACTGGCTTTAATATACAATCCAGAAACTCCAATGTTATTAAAATGGGGCTTTCAAGAAAATGCCAATGTCTTTACGTTGGTCATCTCTAATTCGCTCTTGGAGTATATATATTGCAAGTTAATTTGTGAGGTAGTAATGACAGTTTTTTCTTCCCACTGTTTCCTTGCATTGATTGCCTGGTTCTGATCATTTAGGTAGTAGCACCTAGCAGGCTCAGGGAAGATGCTGCTGAGAAGAAAGAGCTCCCATCCTAGTTCTGAGCTTCATCCTAGGATTTTTAACAGTCCACAACAGAAATAATATCTAGAGTTCACAGCTTAGAAGATTGTACAGCTTTTGAGAGACAGAACATTTGCTGGGTCACTCAAAGCAAAGAAAACATTTATAGCAGCAGTAGAAGAATACATGGATAGAATAACAATTTACAGTCAGATTGGCAAGCATACCCAATGACAGACTTGAATAGATGAGATGAGGCTTTGTGATTGGGCATACACATAGTGCTCTGGGAAAATCATACAACTAATCAAGTGACTAGAAGAGGCATGGTCAAAAATAGACCATTTACCTTGACCATGACTACAGCAAGCAACTACAGGTATAGCACAACCAGAAGATGATTTTGAGACTAGCTGGAGTAGATTACATTTCTGCAGAGGCCAGGGAGGTCAGACAATGGCACCCCTGCTGACAAAACAACTTAGGTTCCCCAGGAACTTAGAGCACTTCTAAAGAGAAGAAAATAATTATAAAATGAGTGTTTACCCAAACGAGTTTAAAATTGAAGTCTTTGTGAGAAAGACATTGTCACAGTTTGTCTGGGACTTGAATGTGTCCCCCAAGAGCTTGTGTGTTGAGCTTGGTGCTCACTGTGGTGATGTTGAGGTGATGCATACTTCATGGGACAAGGCCTAGTGGTACGCCCTTACCTCTTCAGTGATAGGCCCTCAGAAGAGATCAATACAGATCTCCTAGGACCAACCCCAATTAATCCCCAGCAGCTCCTTGACTTGATATTTGACAATGTAATCTGTCATTCTGTATGTGTTCCAATCATGATGCCATACACGATGAGGGGATACTGTAAGGAATCCATGGCCAGAGCAGGAGCTGTGCTGTTTAGACTTTCAGCTACCAACATTGTGACCTAAATGAATTTCTTTTCTTTACAAGCACGCAGATTCAGGTATTTTGTTATAGTAACAGAGAAGAGCCTAATGTAGAACACCAATTCTATATGTGTTATACACAAATAAAAATAACACAATTCTCTATTGATATTTTGAAATATCAATTTTACTATATTTCAAATTTGAGGGGTATTTTAGTTTGATTGGTGTTCTAGCTTGCTTCCCATTGCTGTAATAAACAGCATAACCAAAAGCAACTAGGAAAAAGAGTGTTTATTTCATCTTACATCATGAAGGGAAGTTAGGACAGAAACTCAAGGTGGAAACCCAGAGACACGAAATAAAGCACAAGCCATAGGGGAACACAGCTTACTGGTTTGCTCTCCCCGTGGCTTGCTCAGCCTGCTTTCTTATACCTCTCAGGACTACCTACCAAGGGGTGGTACCACCCACAGTGGGCTCAGCCCTCCAATTATTAATCAAGAAAATGATGCACAGGCTTGCCTATAGGCAATATGATGGAATCATTTTCTCAATTGAGTTTTCCTCTTTCCAGATGTTCCTAGTTTGTGTCAAGTTGACAAAAAAAAAAAAAAAAAAAAAAATCGACCAGCAGAATTGTTTCTCTAGTTTATTTGTTTGTTTGTTCATTTGAAACTAAGTCCCACCTAAAGCTCTAGTTGGCCTGAAATGCACTCTGTGGCTCAGAAAGGCCTGCAACTCCTGTTACTACCCCTGCCTCAAGCCTCTCTTAGTGCTAGGACTACAAGCTTGAGCTACCATACCCAGTTCCTGTTTATCCTTGATTACTATGAAAGCCTCCATTATCTGAAATAATTGTAAGGATTAAAATGAACAATATGTCTTTTTACATAATTTAACTATTATAAAATTGAAACTAAGAGCATGCATCATTATAAAAATATGCTGATCATTGTTTTCTCAAACATGACACCTCATCTCAAGTAGCTTTAATTTATTTGCTTTGTATCTTCATTTAAAAATGAAGTTTCAAATGCATAGCTGGCTGGTTCTAGTTTGACTAGACTTCAGCTCAGGTCTTGAACTATAATCATGACAGTTGTCTCCAGGAAGCCCTGGCTAGACTCCCCTGCAGTTTCCTAGAATTGTATAGATAAACAAAGCATAAGGGTCTATGCGTAGCTATAAGACTAGATATGGCACCTTCAGCAGGAATATGCCTGATGTTGGTGTTAACTTGAGATAAAACCAGGTGCACTGTGGGTTAGAAGAAAGCCACTGGTTTAAATCCTCTTCCCTCTGACCCACATCATGGGGATTCACTACTGTTATAGCTACTCTTGACTATGCTTCTGGTGTAACTGATTGTGATGGTTAGGGCTGTCAGCTTAACAAAGTTAGAATCACCTCAAAACCTCTGAGCACAGCAGGGGATGGGGGGTATCTTAATTACTTGAAGGTGGGAAGATCCACCTACTGAGGGTGACTCCATTCCCTAGGCAGGGCATCCTGTAAACAGAGCATTCTCATGCATGTAGCCATTGTTCTTTTGACTGTGGAAGTAATGCAATCATCTGCATTGAGTTCCTGGTGCCCTGACTTGCTTGCTATGATGAACTGTAACCTGGAACTATAAAGTAAAATTAGCCTTTTCTCCTGGATGTTGCTTTTATCGTAATATTTTATCAGAGGAATAGGAAAAGAACCTCTAACAATCCTCACTGAAGCATACTTTGTAATGTGGGATTGTTGGCTTGCATTCCCTAGCATTGTCTGCCTGTATCTGTTCCTTCACACTGTTTTCCTGAAACAATAACTCAAGCTGTTAGTGATCACAATTATAAACTTAGAAAGAGATTGGAAAACCAGATGTTTAACATGCATATTGTGCTAACATATATCTAGACAAGCAGCATCTAGTTCAACCTTGTCTCAAGCTGAGCACAATGAGCACTCCCAGTCTGTAAGTTTAACCATTTCTATTCGTAGTAGCACTCCGGAGTCATGGAGCAAAGCTGATTATGTTACAGGAACAGCCATGTGAAGTGTTAACTGTAGTAAGCCATGCTAAACCATGCTAAGACTATTAACACCAGGCATAATGAGATTACTAATATCAGGTTGCCTATCAGCTACACACTTACTGAATGGTAAGCATATAGGAAGGTGAGAAATGAATTTAAAATATCTTCTCAATGTTGCTTCTTTGAAATTATTTAATCATACAAGTGAATATTTTAAAATTGTATCTTTAGTAATTAATATTTTATTTTTGCTTCTCTGTAGCTGTGATCAATAGAGCATGAAAGAGAGCAATTTTATCTTCAGAGGTGTTTTTCATTCAATTTATTACCATTGACAAAAATTTGCCTTTCAATGCAGAAAAGTGTCTCTTTGAAGAGCTTTATTGTATGCCTGCCTTATATGATGCTATAACTTTATTCTAGTCACAATACAGGAATAAAGAATTTATAGACTGAAGAGCAAACACAAATCTTATGTAATGTAACATTCTAAAATATGTTATTTAATAACAAAGGAAAATGATTGCTACCTACTGGAGAAAAGAAGAAACTTAATAAAATAGTTGATGCATTAAACATATAATGATATTATCATGGATATTAATATTCATGGGCTATTTCAAAGACAGTTGTAAAAAAGTAATAAAAAGTTTAAAACAGATAACTATTTTATAAATAGCTCAACAATTTAAGTTAACAATTGAAAATCCAGTTGTTTCTTCTAAACTTTTACTTTGTAGGATAGTTAATTCAACATTGTTGTAAGCAGGCATTGGGGAGAGTGATGAACATTTGAATGTGCCCACACTCTTCTACTAGCTTCCTGCAAGCATGGCTATTGTTGATCGAGTGCTGGGCACTACAGACAGGGAGGGCACTTTAACCAACAGATGCCAGATTGAAACAAAATGAAGGAGGAAGGGGGACAAAAGAAAATATCGGCCATTGAGACAGGCCTTTGCCGCTGGGTGCTGGTTCACAAGTGACCAAAGGATCTTCACGGTATTCTTTCCCACAATGCTGCTGGTCTGTTCTGTAGTTCATGGGCTTCTTTCACTCCAAGGCGCTTTTTTAAGTCAGCTGCAGTTTTTTCCAGTTGTTGGATGTTCCATTGCCATTTCCTCCTATTTAACTGAATCTTGCTCATCTGACAATGCAAACGCTTAAGAATTGCATCATATCTCTTATGCTGTACCTGTTAGAAAACAGCACACATCAGCAATGCTTGTGACCATAAGTAGTCAACAGTTAATAACATGCTCTAACTCCTCCACAGGGACATACTGAGAAATTGTTCATTGAAATAATCAACACAAACAAGAATTAGCTAAGTATTCAACGTATTACCAGTGCTTATGTTGTGGGTATTATTATTAGTGTGTGTGTGTGTGTGTGTGTGTGTGTGTGTGTGTGTAGAAACTGAAAATCAGAATAATTTGAACACAATTTCAAAGCTCACTATAGCGGTGTTTGAGATTTGAACACAAATCAAACATCCAGGATGTTATAGCCTCTACTTGTGAAAGCAGTTAAATAAATGTGGCCTAAAGACGCCTCTTTCTTGAGTCCTATCTGATAAACTGCAATCTTTGTATCTTAACTGAGAGCTTAAAAGAATGGATATGCAGCACAGCTGATTCTCAGCAAATCACCATAGCCATGTTTCAGTAACTCTCAGCAAAGCCGAGTAAGACCATGCTTATTATGAGCTGTAACTAGTGGAGCTGCTTCTGTCTGTATCTCACTTGCATTTACTGTCCAGAAATGCTCCCTGCCGATACCACTGGTGGCTTTCTGAATCTCCTCTGGCTGTGACAACGTACCAACCCATCAATTATTCATTGTTCTATTTATTACATGCAGTTGAGTTTAATTGTTCTCATGTCTTTCTTCTACCACTACATTAAATCTAAGACTAAGACAGTGGTTGTCAACCTTCTTAATGCCTTTAATATAGTTCCTTATGCTGTGGTGACCCCAAACCATAAAATACTTTTTGTTGCTACTTCATAGCTGTGATTTTGCTGCTGTAACTGTAATTGTAATGTGAACATCTGTGTTTTATGGTGATCCTAAGCAATCCTTATGATAGGGTCACTGATGGTCATGACCCACAGGTTGAGAACCACTGACATAAGAGATGATATAGTCTATTTCCTTGCCATTAAGTAATTGAGTAAATTCATTCTGAGCCAAACAAGAACGCACTGCAAGGTAATGAACCAGTGGAAATTACAAGTGATGTGATGTCTGGCCACAAGAAAGGAAATGATTTTTATTCATTTATCTGCAAATTTCAAAATTTCATTTTTAAAAGCTGAATGGAATTCAGTATACATATTACACATTCATAAGTAGAAGAATATTTAGGTTGTTTCCATTACCTTTGAGCATCAGTGAACATACTGGGAAAGTAACTGTAAGGTAGGATGTTGAGTCCTTTGGGAATATGCCAAGAGTTATAGCTAGGTCATATGGTAGATCTGCCTTTAGCTTTTTGAGACTTTGCCACCCTGATTTTCATAGCGGCTGCCCAGAGTTTGTAATCTCACCAACAGTGAATGAGGTTTCCCTTTTCCCACATCCTCACCAGCACTGTTGTTTGTTGTTTACTTGCTGTCAGCCATGCTTAGCAGGGGAAAATGAAATCTCAAAGTATTTTTAATTTGCTTTTGCTTAATTGCTAAGGATATTGAGCTCTTTTAAAGATGCTTCTTAGCAAATTGTCTGTCTTCTTTTGAGAACTCGGTGTTCAGATCCATAGTCTATTTTTAATGGGACAGTTTTTTTGTTGACTGCTTTTTAAGTTCTTTGTATATTCTGATTAGCAATCATTTATCAGATGTATAGTTGGCAAGGATTCTCTCCTACTTTGTGTGTGAGAATTTGCAGGTAAGACCCGGTTTTTGAAGACACCACACACTTCAGACACAGATCTTGGAGGAAACAAGCTGAAACTGATCTGGAAGCCTTCTCCCTGAGGCCTAGCTGTCACAGCATCCAAAATGCCAAGGGAGTAAGGAAACTAAAAGTTTTAACTAGCTGTAAAGCCCACGAACCACAACAATGACTAGAATGGTAAGGTATATTCCATGGTGGCACAAGTAGCACTTATATCTCAGGGGTAATGAATAGCCATCTAATTAGACTTAATGCCCGCTCAATGCTTAGAGAGAATTCATGCCTGTCACTATAAATCTAGTCAACTACCTGTAGCTGGTAAGGTCAAGGGCCTTAGAGGAAAACTTACTGCAGCTGCTTTCCTAAACCAGTGTAATTCCCAACTGCATTCTGAATACATTTCCTTATCCACAGATAAGTATAGCTCTTACCCCTCAACGAAGCTTCATTTTGCAGCAAAATTTCAAAATACAGTTGGTCAAAGTATAGAGAACAACTAAATATGAGGTGCCTGTCCTCAAGTGATATATCTAAGTAATAACTACACCAAGGTTCAGAGAACATGTTCAAAGAGAGGGGCAATAGATTCTAAGAACCAGAGGACCAGGATGTCTGCACAAGATAGTGCCCTCTTTATATGACAGAGTCACATCCATGAATTCTTCACAATATCACCCCCTAAACAAGACCAGATGATATTTCAATATTTATGGGAGATATCTCATAAGGCCTAGTGAAGGCCTTATTCTCAGATAGCTCCTAAATGAAGAGATATAGACAATTAATGGCTACTAAGAGAGGGAGAATCAGCCTTTTCCAGGGATAAGCCCACTAATAGATATTGATATCTATTGATAGAGATTGATTTCCAATCCCAAATAGTTATTCTTAGACACATAATAATAATTAAAGAATAGGTGGTCATGAAGTTGAGAGGGATTGAGAAGGTCTTGGGAAGGGTTGGAGTGGAGAGAGTATGGGTGGAAAAGGATGTAATTACAATAGTCATATATAGGATTTTCAAAAACAATAATGAAGATGCAAATATAAAGCCACATACCTATGGGCACCTGAGTTTTCATAAAGAAGCCAGAAATTGACTCTGGGCACAAAAAGACAACATCTTCAATATATAGTGCTGGTCAAACTGCATGTAGAATAATCCAAATAAATAGATTCATACTTATCACCTGAACAAAACTCAAGTCTACATGGATTAAAGACCTCAACATAAAGCAAGATACACCAAACCTTAAAGATACATCTTCTCTTAGATGGGGAAAAGCCTTGAACTAATTGGCACAGAAAAACACTTTCTGAACAGAATCCAGTTAGGACAGGCACTAAGATCAACAATTAATAAATGGAACCTCATGAAACTGAGAAGCTTCTGTACAGCATAGAATGCCATCATTAGGGTCATAAGAATAAAGTGACAGCCTACAGAATGGGAAAATACTTTTACACATCTGATAGAGGATTAATATCCAGAATATAGAAAGAACTCAAAGGACTAGATATCAAGAAAACAAATAACATAATTAAAAATGGGATACAGATTTTGTGGTAGTTTGATTATAATTGGCCCCCATAATCCCATAGGGAGTGGCACTATTAGGAGGTGTGGCTTTGCTGAAGTGGGTACGGCCTTGTTGCAGTAAGTGTGTCACTGTGGGGACAGGCTTTGGTGTTTCCTATACTCAGGATAATGCCCAATGTGTTAATTGACTTCCTATTGTCTGCAAGATGCAAGACTCTCAGCTATTACTCCAACACCCCATCTGCCTACACACAACCATGCTTCCCGCCATGATGATAATGGGCTGAATTTCTGAAACTGTAAACTACCATGTCCATTAAATGTCTCCTTTATGAGTTGCTATGGTCATGGTGTCTCTTTACAATAGAAACTCTAAGGAAGATCTAAACAGAGAATTTTCAACAGAGAAAACTCAAATGACTGAGAAACACTTAAAGAAATGTTCAACATCCTTAGCTCCAAGGAAATGCAAATCAAAACTATTTTAAGATTTCATCAAACGCCAGTCTGAGTTACGAACAATAAAATAAGCATCAGCTTATGCTGTCAAGGATGTAGAGTAAAGGGAACACTCATCCATTGCTGATGGGAATGCAAAAAGCCACTATGGAAATCAGTGTGTCAGTTTCTCAGTAAGATGTGAATCAATTTATCTCAAGATTCAGTTATACCACTCTTGGGCATATACCCAAAAGATACTTCGTCCTACCACAGAGATATTTGTTCAACCATGTTTATTGCTGCTCTATTCATAATAGCCAGAAAATGGAAACAACCCAAATGTACCTCAACAGAAGAGGAGATAAAGAAAATGTGTTATATTTACACAATGGAGTATTACTCAGCTATTTAAAAGTGACATCATGAAATTGCATGTAATGAATTGCATGTAAATGAATAGAACTAAAAAAAAATCCTCCTTAGTGAGGTATCTCAGACACAGAAAGACAAATATAGCATATATGTACTTTTATATGGATATTAGCTATTAGTAAGTGAATAATAACCAAGCTGCAATCTGTAGAACCAAAGAGTTAGGTATAGAGTAATGGAAAAAGGAAGTGGGAGTAGAGATCTTGTTAGGAAAGGATAATAGAATAAATAGTTGTGGATGATGGGAGAGGTTAGAATGGAAGGATCAATGGGCAGGGAAGAGGTGGAGTTATCTAAAATTAAGGAACATTTGAGTGGTAGTATGAAAACCTAATGTAATAGATGCATAATAATGTAATATATATATGAAGCCATTCTACATAAAATCATCAAATAATGAAGGTAACAGAGTCCCAACTTGTGAAATATATTAAATATAACAAGTGTATTAAATAATAAAACTATATTCAAGACAAGCTTTTCAATATATTGAATTTCTTTAAAAGGTCTGAATTTTCTTTAAAAATATCTGTATAGTGTACTTTCTGATGCTGTGATAAACATCATGACCAAAGCAAGTTGTGGAAGAAAGAATTTTGGGGGCTTATAGATTACAGGCCATCACTGAGGAATTTCAGGACAGGAACTCAAGCAGAAAACCTGGAGGCAGGAACTAAAGCAGTGGAGAAATGCTGCTTACTTCCTTGGTTGGTTATCCAACAGCCCAGGCCCACCTGTCTAGGGATGGGATCACCCAAAGTTGCCTGAGCCTGCATACATAAGTTAGCAATTAAGAAACCGTTCCCACAGACATGTCTGTAGGCAAATTTGATGGAAGCAATTCTTCAATTAAGGATCTATCTTCCTAGGTGGCTCTTGTT